GAGAAGAAAGAGAAAAGCTTGTTCCTTAGGCTCCTGGGGATGCTGCTGGCAGTCCTGTGAAACATACCTCCTGGCCTACCTGAGTTAATGTGTCAACACACTGCAGTTTGTGTTAATGAGCCCGTCTAGGAGGCCCGTACATGCATTATTCCTCATCCATACAGCCACCATATACTAGCCCTATTTTACACACTAGTACATGCCCTCCTCCTTTGAAGTGAGTGATTGTCCCTAAGCCACCCGAGGATGAACTTTGAGAGGGAGACAGCAAATCCACAGAGGGCGGCCTGACTCCAAAGTCCACTTTCTCTCCTCACTCTCTAACTGCCTCTGTTATTGCTAGAGCGTTATTACAACACTGAGCCTTTGTAAACGCCCTGCCATGTCAAAACCACCCTTCGGAACTGTTCTACTACGGCTGATCTGCTGGGCTGAAAGGACCTGGCTGGCGGGGAGAACTACAAAGGCACGATGCTAACAATGTTCTTTGGACTTGGCACCTCTCCTTTGTGAACTCGGGAAGATGGTCAGTGCATGCTGGCCACATGTCTCAGCCGCAGGAGCAATGCTCAGCTGCACACTGTGCTGGCCCCACAGATGGTGACTGATGGCGGCCAACGTCCCCATCCAAATATCGCTACGTTCAGAGATTCAATAGGGTACAGTTGGCTCTTAATTAGCAATTGTGATCACGGGGAGATCTGTTGGGGATCATTAAGCTCCATTTAATTGGCTGACGTGAATCCTCAGAAATAGCTTATTTTATCCTCCAGGGGAATAAAGATGTTTTTGGACACGGCTTGCCACCCTTGGTACAATTTGGCTCTTGGCTTCCTCCCCAGCCTCCTCTGCTGCCACCCTCTGACTTCTTTGACAAGCAGCTACGTTGGCTTCCTTCTAGTCCCTAGGAGGCCTGTGTCAAAGTAATGAAGTGGTCAGTTACTAACAAAAAGCAGGCAATTCCAACCCACCCAACAGCTCTGCTAGACACAGAACTGGCCGTCTCCTCCGGTGACCACAGCTGGGAAGGTGGGGGGAGCTCTCATCTGTCACACGGGGTCTTATGAGTCAAAATCAGGTCAATGGTCCCTAAGCACAGCACACACGTGTGTCCCGCAGCCCAGGCCCTGTGCGAGCCACCATGCTCTGAGGAGGGTCGTCCTACCTCGGCGTCCTTCCTTCTTTTCAGGAGCGGTAAGACTACACTGTGCTCCTGAGCCTTCCCCGGCCCAATCTGGCTTATTCCCCCTTCATCTTCCTCAGTTGTTGTAACCTACAACATATATTCCCCGTGTATGTCTGTCCTCCATATTGGATCCGTTATTCCAGGTCAGTGGCTCTCCACATGTTAGTGTGCATCAGAATTCCCTGGTGAACCCGTGAGACCAGGCTTCTGACACAGCCATCCACCTGGAACCCAAGAGCTGACATTTTCCACAGGTTCTGAGGTCATGCTGATACTGCATCCCTGTGGGTCCATTCTTTTTTTTTTTTTTTGTGGGCCCATTCTTTAAAAGATGGACCATCCACTTTCTTGGTGCCAGGGGCAGACTGCCCAGTAAGCAAGGTAAGTATGGACTTCGCACGAGTTTTCACTACAGATTAGTGAGTGAGCCCAGAGAAACCCTTGTCTTGCTTGCTGGGCAGCCCCACCCTCTTTGATGCCTTTCACACACCTCTGTGCCCTCATGATCTTCTCCATGCCCACGCCCCAGAGTGCTGCCCCTGTTCTCATCGGTTCCAGGGCCTCCACCACCTCAGGCCATGTGGCATGCTTTAACTGCTGGCACGTGTGACTGTCTGCCATATTCTTATCTCAAGCCAGGCTTTGTTCCTCAGTGCCAGCAACCAACATTCACAGATGAATTAAAAGCAACAAAACAATCCAGCTATGCTATATCCAGGCGGCTTCTGCTTTACATACCAGCAACACGGAAATGGGGCAATAACTACTGAGTGTCAGGTTCCTTGTTGGTAAAAATGGGGACAATAATACTTGCTTTCAGGAAATAACAGGCATAACTACATGGGAACAATAGCCACAGCTCGGGACATTTGAGTTATGAGAAGACGGTTGCCTGTAACAGGCAAGGGGGACTCACAAACAAATGGGTGCTAGCAGTGATCTTTGGGAATATGTGCCATATATACTTGTGCATAAGCTGAGTTTTTCTGCACTTTTTT